AGAGAGAGAGTGAGAGAAAGAGAGAGGACGACTGTGCCACTGCAATTTGGTCGGTGTCTCACTCCGCTTTGAGCGGCCGTCCCGGTCATGGCCATCCGCCAATGGTCAGGAGGACACCCTTTTTTCTTTTTACGCTGCAGAAGGAAAGCTGGCATTTGAGGGCGCCTGCCGAGGTGTCCTGTGAGAGTTTGCAAAACTGCTCTGCGAGCTGTGAGGAGCTGAGGAGTTTGCGTGACTTTCGTTTTCCAATGCACGACTGCTGAGGTGGAGGTCTTTGCGGCTTTTGCGGCCTGGGCGAACAGACCGTCACCCAAGCACAACTTCCTGCCTGCAGCACAGAGGGTTGCTTTAGGCACTTTAGGCTTTGGTATTGGTCCTCCACATTGCGGTTTGTGGTAAGTTCAGTCTGCGAATCGGAGGGGAATGTGCGTCACTTGAGCTTTGTACGGCTACATGCTGTCTGTTTCATTGGACCCGAGAGTCACCCAAGCCACGAGAATCCCAACCGAACACTGACACTTGGAACATGAGAAGGTCGCAATGACCGGGACAGATCTGTGAGAGCCTGCACAGGAGCCAGCACATGCCACAATCTGGTCACACGGTTGCCATCGCTTGCCCACGATTTCCGAACCTCGGGCCGTGACTCCTTAGGGCAAATCTGGTGGCCCTCATGATCATGAGTGTGTGCCCCTTTTCAGCCCTGGGGTGAGGTGATCGACCAGTGTGCCTTCGACATGGGAGTTCAGGCTGTGAGTTGGGCAAGATGCCTTGTGTGCGTGAGAGCCGAGCCCCAAGGCCTGGGTGACCACGACAACCTCCACCGGAACGCGGACGACCCTGACATCGTCACGGACCTCATCCGTAACATCATCTGCGACTTGTCTTTACGTGGTTCTTGCCCCGAAAACCCACAGCGCAGACTTTGCTTGTACAGACGACAACCTACCTGGGACCAACGAGCACTAGCACCACCACGTTCGAGCCTCGGCCGGTCTCTGAGAGAAAAGACGGCGCCCCCCAGTGCCCCGCAGCAGGACTACAAGCGTGACTTTGTCCACATCAGCCACGGTCACTTCAACATCCACTGCAACAATTTCGACCACCTCAAGTTCCACCACCACCAGTACTACGACTCAGGCAAATGCGAGACTTCACTTGCAATGCTTTGCATCGATGATGAGTTGCTGAAAGGTGAACGGCTACTACTATTACCGATTCACACCCACGCAAATAGCAGACGAAGGCGGCTTTGATTGTAGTCGTGGCGAAAGGGGTGAAATCTCGCGATTGCAGGTGGAAGCTGCTGCTGCGTGATGTCCTCTGTGCTTTGCCGACTGCGACGGAGGAGGGTTGAAGTGTGCAGCAGCCCAGGCCCATGCAGTTGCGGAGCTCTACTTCAGGCCGGAGCAGTTGTCAAAAAGGCCCATGCAGTTGTGATCCGTGGAGAGTGTCAAGGAACTGTGGCGCAGATGTTGACATGGCATTGGCCAGTGCCAGCAACAGATCTGCACGGAGGTTGTGTGAGTTGTGCATCTTTAGCAGTATGGAGATGCAAGTTGTCTGTTTGAGCGTAGGAGGAGTCTGTGAAGCATCCTGTGACGTGTGAAGACGTGCTCAGATGACTAGAAAAGGCAATCCTGGCGGTTCTTGGCAGGGTCCGGCACCCAAGATGTTTGCGAGACTCTGAAGATGGAGGCTCGCTCGCAGCAGGCAGCCCGCCGGGCAACGCCGTAGATCTCCGGCTCGAGACGAAGTGGCGGGACAGCAACAGGCGCGCCCCAAGGCCGAGTTTGGGGGGGGCCCAGTCAGGGGAGGGAAGTGGCCCCCAGGCGCCCGCTGATCCTGGCCTCGCCGGAGCTGATGCCGGCGCGGCGCACTCTCCCCTCCTCTCTCCTGATCCTCCTCCTCCTCCTCTCCTCGTCTCCCCTTCCTCTCAGTGTGTCCAGCTTCGAGGTGGATTCCTACAGTGGGGGCCCTCGGAGGAGAGTGCGGAGAGCGTTGGCCTGCCATCGGTTCTTTCTCTCCGGTGACGTCTCGGAAACGATGATGACCACAGGGCGAGAGTGAACGGAACTGATTGGGCAGTGCGCCAGACATGTCAGAGTGGTGGAGGGTGGAGACAACTACTGCTCAGGGCACGGTCTCTTTGCTCAGATCGCGTGCATTGACTCAGGGATGTTTGGTCCGGATGGGTCGTTACGTCCGTCCTTTAATATCCGCATGCAGCTCTCCTGTAGCTAGCCGCCTGACGTGGCCTTCTTTCACCGGGAAAGTCGGGGCGGACATTCCAGGCACGAAATCTCCAGAAGGTTCCGTGACTCGCCGAGGCTACGTCACCGGGGATGACTGCCCCGACAACGACCCCACGGCCTTTGAGTTGCATGGCTCACAAGACGGTGTCTAGCCTGCGCCTTAAAGTTGGCCTTGGCCTTTCATAGCTCCAAAGAGTTTGGGGGGAACAATGCAACCGACTCAAAGCCGATTCCTGTGACAGTTGGGAGTTCCTGGATGCTCGGGTCATGGCAGACCGGCCGCCCGCCTCTTGGCGACCCGTGGGGCGCCCAGGAGTCGGTTTTCGTGTGTGTTTTTTCTCTTTGATAATTCCCCTGCAGCTCGACATGTCAACCTGAATGAACGGTTCAAGACGGTGGGACTGTCACACATCGCACCTGTGCACGCGCTTCGCGCCCATTGAAATCCGTCCACTGCAGGCTCAAAGCCTTCCACTTTCGAGCATCGCCCGTTGCGACCCACACACACACACACACACACCCACACCGCACCTTCGACTTCTCCCGAAATTTGCGGAGGTTCGAATAGAGCGCTCGCCAACGATTGAAGATGCTGTCAAAATGTTACTCTTGCGACATGTGGAACGAACGGACGCCCTTGCGCTTGGGCAGGTCCATGGAGGAGCAAAAGCTTGGTCATGTAGAGGTCAGACCATCCGCGGAGTAAGCATGAAGCCTTGAATAGGGTCTATCAGAAGTCTATCATGGGGGTTTAGATACGGTTCTGACTCCGCTCACCTCGTTCTGAACTTCCCGATCCCTATTCCGACTGCTATTCTCAACCTTCTTTCCATGATTTCCATTCCGCTGCTGACCCTGTGCAAGGGCTTGGCCTCGAGGCAAAGGGGTATTCTCAACCCTATCACTAACCCTATTCCAGCTGTATTGCGTAGCACCCAGTAAAACCGCATTGTACTGGGAGATTCTCCTGTCCGAACTCTATCCAACCCAATTCGTATTCCCAACCCTTTCTTCCGGGAAAGCCTATTGTTCCGATTCGCTCATTCAAAACCAATCTGAAAGAAGCCTAGAGAGCATGTTTTTCATCCATGGGAGATTCCGGCATGTTGCCCCATTTGGGAACAGACCAATGACGGCCGGGGCCGGCACCATGCCTTTCACTGCAGGCCCTAGAGTGGGCATTTCCTGCAGTATGACTCGTGCTAGTGAGCAGCCTCGCGGCGAGAATGCAAAATTGGCGTTTGTTGGATGTATTTCGAGTCTTGTTGCTTTGTCGAAGATGGCGTTTGCCGAGGCTCAGACCGAATGGTTCACTTTCAAGAACTGCACCCCGCCACGAGCTTACAGCTCCAGCTACATCCCGGGGCACATGTTCGGAGACTGCGAGGACCACGACGGCCACAAGCTTGACACAAACCTCCCAGACCACGTGGGCAGCCAAGGGTTACACGAGAAGACATGTAAGATGGCAGGATGATGTGCTTGGGCTCGTCGAGGTCTTCGTCAACCGTGTCCAGGACTTTTACGGCTTTGGCGCCCAGAAGACTTGGGTCGGACGGACAGTGCGTTGTGTGCGTGCCGGAAGGTATCGACCAGCATCAGCCGGACGAGCACAGCGAGCACCACGACGTCGCCGGAGGCGCTTGTGACCGCTAGTGCCGCAGGGACTCCTGTGCTCCGTGACTCCGTGAGTCGCTGCCAGGGTGCCTTCGTGCAGCTGATTGAATCTGGCACCTGTGCCGTGGCCTCGTGCCGATCGCGCCTCTCACCTTCCCTGCTTTGGAGTAAAAGACTGCCTCCCTCGGTCTCCTACGCTCTTGCATGCTGCAAAGCAAGAAGCAAAGCAAGAAGCAGGATTTCCCAAGACCTTCTCAAGCACTCATGGCTCGCGTTTCGAACGCCTGATTTTGTGCTCTAAGGCGCAGCTTTCACTCTTCCCCATCCTGGGCCCCGCAGAGTGCGAGCAGGCTGCGAGGCGAGGGCCTTAGCTTCTGTAAAAGCGCGTTCGCACACCTTCCATTGTACGCTCACGAGTTGACTCTTTCTGGCACACTACCGCATGTATGGACCTCTGACCTTTTGCGCTTCTCACAAGCGACTTAATGTACAGCTTTGGGTCATGTCAATCAGTGCTTCTGCTCTTTTGGACGTGGAACTCGTTGAAATGCTGGCTCGTAAATTTCAGCCAGGGTTTCCTTGTCGCACATGGTTTTCCTGACCGGCTTTGGCTTCTTGTTAAATGTACAGGAAGTTGATGCGGAACCACGTGGAACGTCGGGAGGTGCTGTTGGCACAGGTGATGCTGTAGGCGGCATTGTCAACCCAAACATTTCCTTCAACTCATACATGACATCTTCTTCATTTGCTCGCTTCCGAGATCGAGAAAGTAGTCGCTGGAGCTCCTTCAGCTCGGTCTTGTCGAGCTTTATTGCTTTCGAAGCCGACTTATGTCGAGCGCCATCAGAAGCGCATTAAGCAAAGCTCCAAAGCTTCCACTAACCCACCCCATCAACCATTCGCGGTCTATTTCAGCTTACAGTTCCGCTCCCGACCTCCACTCACCTGTCGCTTTTTCCGTGGAGTTAGAAGGCCGGCCCGAAACGGCTAAATACGATAGTATCATCCGATCTTGCAAGCATTCATAAGCATTCCAACATCTCTCCCGCTTTGTGCGCAGGAAACTAAAGTCGATCCATCCATACCTTTACAAAATATGGGTAGGAGATCCTCATCTAAATCACTTCATTACAATTTTTCGGCTGGATGCCAATATTGACCCCACACATACCCTGCCTAAGTTAGCCTTTTGCGTGTCGCACACAAGCGGAGCTGGCGTGCAGCGCGCAAAAAGTCGAAAACGACGGAACCTCGAAGAACACGAAATTCACGAAACACGCGAAAAGTCCGAAACACACCGAAACAACACGAACAACGCGAACAACACGAACAAACACGCGAGAAATGCGAAACACCCGAAAGATGCGAAAAAACGCGAAATTCGATACAATTACTAAATGCCGAGTAAAACGGATGTGTTTAGCCATTTTGGCCTTCATGGCGGACATGCTCACCACGCTTCTGTTTTTGTCCCGCAAAACAGCCGTCTTCATACTTTGGGTAGGCTTTAATTGGTTCTGTACCTTAGCCAGGGTGCTTTGTCTGGGTTAATGTTTCCGGACTAAGCCTTAGGGCCGATGCCAATGCAAGCCAACTTTGATTTGGATACTGCAGAAATCCATGAGTCGTCGAGCCAGATTGCAGCCCGCCCAAAGCATCTCTGAGCCTATGTACTTTGCGGCGGGGGCAGATTGCGCATGGGGTCTTCGAGCTGGAGCCACGGCTTGTTCCGTGCTGCCAGCTGCACAGCTCTCGACCGACTTCTGTCTCGTGACTCTTGTGTCGTGACCCTGCCAAACTCCGTGCTCGCCTTTGTCTGGCCACAGCTTCTGCGAGTCTTGGACGGCACTTGGTTTGGGAGGACTGATCTACGGAGATTACGACTGCCCAAGAACAGCTCAGGCTCTTGCTAGTCATGTTAGATTTTCCGAAGTCCGCTGCGTGGCCAGCATTGCGGGCGCGATTGAGCAGGAATTCCCTCAAACCTCGACCTCTCCATGGGCTAGAAAGCTGGCTTTGCATGGATCTCCAAGCTCTCGACCAGAGGCACTTTGTCTTCGCATTGCCATCCGAAGACGTCACGGCATAGGCGACACACGCAGGTTTTTGGCGAGAGGACTCCTTGTAACTCTGGATGTGTGTTGCTAGCTGCTTGGTGCCTCGGCCCAAGGATTTCCGAACTTGGTGCTTCTTGGTGCCTTGTGGACCTTCACGCGCAGGGCGCTGGTTTCCGATGTTCCCCGACGGAAAGCCGCGTGGAGGGTGTGACGGCGCATGCACTGCACGCAGCTGTCTGCTGCAGCCGATGCCGTGGACCTCTTTACTTCTTTTAGCCGGGATTCCCTTGCCACAAACGATGTTTTTCTTCTTGAAGACGTTTTGTCTTCCTGCACCCCCTGAAACCCTGGCAAGAGTTTTCCTGTTGCTCTTTTCCTGAAACAACAGAAAGCACTGACGCCGCTCGGCTTATTATGTTGCTGTTGCAATGTCTTCTTGTCGATTTTTTGGGGCCAGGACAAGCAGTCGCCCAGGAGCAGGTTGCCGAAGCCCCTCCTTCGCCACCTTCGCCACCTTCCCCGCCGAATGCGGATCTCGTTAATCTCGTTGTTCTTTACCCTGAGCCCGACATCCGTCCATGCGTGCCCACTACCGCTACCTACACGACCCGGAGGCCCCAAGTCCAGCGCAATCGTCGGACTTCCGTGCGCTTCACGTCTGAAGTTGTACTAGCGGTCGCCGGTGCCTTCGACTGCCGGCTGTTCACAGAAAGACATGAAGGTTGGCTTTGCAAGCAACCTGCCGCTGCCGCTATGGGCTATGATTTTCATGGCCTCTCCCGCGGACGTGCTCTATACTAGCCGCTTCACGAAGAGACATTGCGTCCGGCCAAGTATGGCCGCTGCGGTGTTTGCAACGAGTTGATTTCGGCCCTTCAACCCTACCGTTGTCTATCCTTAAACCCTGCCCCAAACCCCAATACCTTCACCTCTCCTGATTGATGATGCCGGGATTCTCAATAGCAGGAGATCCTGCGGCCCATTGCACAACGAAGCGGGCAGTATAAAGGTGAAGCGACTTTGAGGTGCAAGAATTGGTCGCTGCTTGAAGTTTGCAGCAATTTCCGAGAAAGCATGTTTGGCAACAACTGAGTAACTACACGCGCCTGTCACTTCGTTTTTTTGGGGAGTCCTGCATCCGGGTTATGGTTTTAGGTTGTTCTTCAGAGGTTACTTTTCAGATGTAAGCGTTGAGGGTGCCAGTCAGCGGCAACGACAAGGTTGAAATATCAGTTGCGAATGCGCCTATGAAAACTGGACTACTTGCTTAGTATTAGGACGCTTAGTACAAGGCTAGGTGCATTTAGCAGCTGTATTTTCGTTGCCCCTAGCTACGGGATGGCACCCTCCCTGTAGAGAGCAGAAGCAACCCTCTCCGAGTCGTGAACGCAACCCGTGTCAAGAGGACAGGCTGCTCCAACTCGTGAAGGGTTAACGGTGTGAAGAAGGGAGCCGGGTCCAACTCGTGAACGGTTGGGGGGCTCCAAGCCTCGTCAAGAAGGGGACCGGCTCCAACTCGCGAAGGGTTGGCGGGGTGCAACCCTTGTCAAGAAAGGGGCCGGTTCCAACTCGTGCACGGTTAGGGGGGTGAAACCTTTGTCAAGAACGGGCATGCATGGACAGTCGCCGGCCTAGATTTACATAGGCTCCCGCCTACGCGTTCTCTGCTGCTCGCAAAGCTCGGGCCGTTTCGGGCTCCGCGGAGGCGGTTGTCGAGCCCTCAGCGAAGACTTTAAGTTTTAGGGTTGATTGGCTGATCGGCTCATCGGCTGATTGGCTGATCGGCTGATGCACGTTTTTGCACACTGTACAATTGGTAGCGCCCTGCTTTGTGACCGAGAGTTAAGTTGATTCCTCCGCGTTTCACACATTCTAAACGTGCGTGACGTCTTCGTAGAACAGGGCTTAGATATCGTATTAATAATCGCACACAGCTTGGCTTGCACTAAGTGTTTTCGTATCGTTTGTTTTTTAGAATCTCAGCAAGTACCGTTGATTTCTTGAATTAGGTGCAGGGGGTCGCTTTATCTCGCATCGATGGGTTGAAATACGCATCGATCAGCGTCCACACTCGGGAAACCGCTTTCAAACACTCATTTCCATTTGTGAACGATCCGATGGTTCCACGTGGAATCGAGCGTCTAGTTGGGGAATGGCTGGGTTGGATGTGGTGTCCTGCCGGTGACGTTCGTCTCGAGTGGGTGCTTATGGAATCGAGCGCCAAGATGTGGTTTTGATGTGGTGTGCTGCCACTGATGTTCGTCTCGAGTGGGTGCTTGTGGAATGGGGAGTGCCTAGTTGGGGATTGGGATGTGGTGTGCTGCCGGTGATGTTCGTCTCAATTGGGTGCTTGTGGTGTCGAGCGTCTAGATGGGGAATGGCTGGTTTTGATGTGGTGTGCTGCCATTGATGTGCATCTCGAGTGGGTGCTTGTGGAATCGAGCGTCTACTGTAGATGGGGAATGACTGGTTGCGATGTGCCGTGATGCCACTTGTACCGGTCATGATGTATTGTGAGGACACGGATCTGTGTCTCGATCGTACCAGTGCATTCCATATTGGATGCCTGAGCATATACCTGCGAATAAACCTTACTGAACGTATGTCAACATTGTTAAATTGTAGGCATGTAGTAGTAGATTCCTATGTTATTTGTATGCAAGGTCAGATCTTCGACGAACATGATCCAGCCCAAGCCAAAAAATTCATAATATTTGTTGGGATGACTACGCGACCCAACCTTGAACACAAATTTGGTGTGTCGCAAATATGTACGTGAACATGTATGAGTGTTGCATATAAGTTAGTTCATAAAGCAGAACAAGTATCCAAATACGAGGTAAGCAAAAATTCATTCAGACTCAGGTTCGAGCTGCATAATTGCATCCGTGTTCACCCATGCGAACATCAAGCTAGTATGCAGGCAAGATTAGAAATCCCTAACCGGTATCAGCTGAATAGCAATTAACGAATGGTCCGAATGGTTCGTGATTGGGCAATGAGGGCGGGGCTATCATGTGTGCGTTCGAAAACGATGGGATGCATATGTTTTTTGATGTTGCCACATGTGCTTGTGTTATTCCACAGCGTGCTGCATTGACAGTTTTGGCTTTCCATCAAGAGATGTGTTGCTGTTCAACATACACTACATCTGTTGACATATTTAGAGAAGCTAACATAGAGTCGAAAATCCTATTTTGGTGCCTCACACATAAGTGTACGCCATACTAAAACACCGCATCGTTTGGAGTTTGTGCCGCGAATTCACAGCAACGTGCTCGAGAAGGGGTATCCTTTCGTGTTGCCTCCTGCAGGCAGCTGGATCTTCCAGACATATCTGCACAGATCACTGCCGAAGCCGACAGGCCCGGAACTAAACCCAACTCCATGCGGAGCTGTGCCCCCCTGCCGCCGTTCACCCCTCTTTCTTGGCTGAGGCCCGAGGGATGTTGGTGCCTTAGCCTACAGCCCCGTCTCTGTCACTTGTGCCTGCCTTCCAGGGGAGCTGCCATGCCATGCCATGGAGCCAAAGGGGTGCAATTTAGGGTTGCCGGCGCGCGAAATGGGAGCAGTCACCTCTGCACGGTAGCGGTGCAGGGCAGACGGAAAAATCCCCTGAAAGATTGTTTTGCTAGGGAGGCTTAGGGCCTCTTTCATGAGATTTGTTCTGGGACGCAAGTTGGTTTTATGATGACGTTGTTGTGGGAAGGGAGCACAGGTTGCTTTCGTGCATTCTTAATCCCTGCTGTGTTTGTTTGTCTTCACGCGGCATGGTAGCGGCAAGGAAGCTACATTTTGCTTCCGTGGACTTTTTCATGTCCGCCCGACAACATGGTGCCTGGAAGAGACTCTTGCGGATAATTTTCGTTCTCAGGCCTGCATGTGTGCTGGTGGTAGTGAAGTTGAAGTTGATGCGAGCTGGCATGCCTCTTTCTGGGTTTCTTGGTTCGGGTCCGTGGACGAACGATCGGCCCGGCAGGACGAGGGCCACTTCACAAGAGCGACTTGTACCTGAGTGCCCGTGTGTTGGTCACTCTTTCGTCCCCTTGAGTCCAGAAGTAGGACCATGGATCTCGCATAAAGGTTCTCATTTGTCTTGAACCAGCAGAAGCCATCATCAGAGCGGTTGGAGGGTCCGACGTCGCTCCCCCTTCGGTGCTTTTACACCCGGATTGCAATGTGGCCTCCTCAACAGGCCGCCAAAAAGGCACACATGTTGTGTTCGATGGGTGTTCGTGTCAGCCAGTCATGATGTTTGGCTGCTGCAGATCTTGAACCTGTAGATCTTGAACCTGTGGTTCCTCCCGAGAGATCCCGAGAGAGCAGCGTGAACCAAGGGCCTTAACAGCCCCCAATTCTCCAAAGTCCTTGAAAGGGAGGTCAATGGAGGCGGCGTGATCCAGGAAGCCTTTCACGGGGGGGGAGGGGAGCACGCACTTTTTCGGGGGTAACGTGTGGATGCTTCTGTGTTTTTCGACAAAGGGAACTGCAGGGGCTGTCCCCCTTCGCCTCCCAAGGCTACTTCTTCGAGGGCCTCTCACTCTGGCTGGGTGTGAGCCCCGCCAGCAAGGCCTCCGAGCTGCGAGCGACCTGTAGAGTGCGTGACTCTCTTCTCCGCTTGAAGTCCTTGTCAGGGCAAGGGCGCTGAGACCTCCGGCCCCGAAGCCAACAAGTCGTGGCCCCTCTAGTTTGCCTACGAATTCACGAGAGTTCTGGCTTGTGAGGACACGGCATCCCATCTGCAGCTCAGTCGTGCCGGACATGCGTTGGAGCACTCAGATATGTGCTTGACTCGCTTAAAGGCTTAAGAAAGCTGTTGCGAGGCCTCCACTCGTGGGACTTGAGTCAGGGTTCCTTGGTTTGGGGGCCAATTTGCAGACTTGGGTTCCAGAGGTGTCGCCACTGGCCTCGCTGGTAACGGAGGTCCGCGATCGGGACTCTTTGTTGTGGCCATGCGTGCACATAATGTGTGCTATTCATGATATGCATATTTTTCTTTATGTGTGTATACGTCTGTCTGTCTGTCTGTCTGTATGTCTGTCTGTCTGTCTGTATGGATGGATGGATGGATGAATGGATGGATGGATGGATCTATGGATGGATGGATGTGTGTGTGTGTGTGTGCGCGCTGTGTGCGCGCATGTATGGGTGTATGTATGTATGGATGGATGGATGGAATGGATGGATGGACGGATCTATGTATGGATGGATCTTTGGATGGATGTATGGATGCATGTCTGCCATTGCATGTATGCATGTATGCACGTATGCACATATGCATGTATGCATGTACGGATGTACGCATGTATGTATGTATGTATGTATGCATGCATGCATGCATGCATGCATGTGAAAATAACACGTCCCTCACCTTCGCCCCGACCTTGCCACTTTGGTGGCTCAAGACACTTTGCTCTTGCAGAGAAAGGCGCATCTGAACTTCAGGGCTACTTTGGTGTCTCGGCTGAGTGAGCTTGTGCACGAATTACTTTAGGGTAGTTTGGTGCTCATTCTGTACTGGTGTACTTTCGCAGTATGTGTATGTGTATGTATATGTATATGTATATGTA